CTGAACAGATTTGAAATTGCTCTCAATTTCGCAAAACACCTATTTGTATCCGGTTTTTTATATATATATAGTTTATTTGGGGACTTATAATGTAGAATAATTAAAAAATTAAATGAGACTTACCTTAAGTCGAACTTTGATTGTAATTCTATGAGTCTTTGGACAAGGAAACTAAGGAGTCATGTGAGATATGCGCGCGCAGATCGAGTGTTCAGTCTTTAACGCAGCGAGTGAATTCAACAGTAAGTTACTGGGTGGGAAAAAGGAAAGCCTGTTTTCCCCTACAAACATTGAATGAACTTTGGGTGGGTGACTCCTTAGTTTCCTTGTCCAAAGACTCATAGAATTACAATCAAATTTCGACTTAAGGTAAGTCTCATTTAATTTTTAAATTCTATTTCGTCATTGGACTACGTCACTAAGGAGTCATGTGAGATAGTAGGGACTAAACACCGGTTCTGAGCCACTTTTTTTCCTCACTATACATATAATCATTTCCGTCTTTTTTCCCTATTTCTTCCCATCCTCAACGTCCTCAACATCCTCAACGTCCTCAACATCCTCAACGTCCTCAACGTCCCCAACATCCCCAACATCCTTAACGTCCTCAAGGAATTTTCCATAAAAAATTTTTTTCCGCAAAAATAAACTTCATAAAAATTTTCATGGAAAAAATTTTCCGTAAAAATTCATGAAAAAAATTTCCATGGAATTTCCCCCACGAAAATTCACAAAAAAATTTTCGTGAACAAATCGGCCTCGTCAAGTATTTAAAGAGAAATTATACGTATGATAAATAGAGAGATATGGTGAATTCAAAACCTAATTTCCGTGTGGAAATCAAGAAGCTTGCGTCGGAACGTAAGAAGCGTCGCGAGAAGAACAGGGAAGAAGGTATGCGTTTGATAAAAGAGAGAGAACTTGCGGGTAAGATCGGACGTAGTTCTGGATACAGGAGAAAGTCGGACAGAACGTCTTTACTTCGGTTCGCATTGGAGAACGCTCGTATTCGGAGGGAGAGGGAGGAAATGATGGATGTGTATTATGAGATAGATGATGACGAGGAATAAAAAAAATTCCTATTAAATAAAAGAATGAATCCAGCAACGACAGTTATTCATTCCGCCATGAAATTAGCGGCGGAAGCTACGCGTACGAATTCAACGATCGTTCCGAACGTGGCATTGACGGAAGAAGAAGCCAATGTGTTGTACGCGACGTGTGCGATCTGTAGTTCGTCTGCATTATCCATTTTGATTTTCGTGGCGACAAAACTTGTGAGGATGTGTCGAAAGAAGAAAAAAGAGGAATTACCCGTCCACACACCGTCCGCGTAAAAAGATTTTAATAATATTTCATATTATTAAAATTTATTCAGAATCATTATGTTAAGTAAGACTTCGAGTGTGATCGGGATCAAGAGGCAACTGATCAGACACATCCATAGTAACGTCCTCCATAGGAATAGTTTCATCTTTTGTTTTATCGTAATTTTTGATCGTCGTACTAACGTATCCGATCTGTGTGTGAATACTTGTCGTCGCATCGCCTCGATCAAACCCGAATTCCAAACTAAACATTTTCCGTCTTTTGTGGTTTTTATTGCGCTTGATAGTATTTTCAGATTTGGAAGCAAGACATCCCATATTTATAAAATGGAACCATTTAATATGATCATCGTGGGAAAGACAGCATGTGGGAAAACACATTATTTGATCGAAGAATTAAAAACAACGTATTTTCATAAATTTGAACATATCTTTTTAATCTGTCCGACGTATCATTGGAACAAGACGTACGAACAAGATTTTATTGACAAAGATCCGAATTTTTTCGTGGTTCCATGCGATCATGATGAGGTGGGAGATTCTTGAAGACGTGTCGTAAAATATACGTCGGGAAAAAAATCATTGATTATTTTAGATGATTGTGCAAGTACAAAATTTGTAAAAGATCGTCCGAGCGAATTAGTGAAATTAGGAATGAGTGGACGTCATCAGAACATTTCGACGTTCGTTATTACACAACAGTTAACATCGATCGCCAAACCATTTCGCGAGCAGATTCAGAAATTAGTGGCGTTCTATAATCCGAACAGGTTGGATATGAAAACAATCCTGAACGAATATATAGATCCGGACGTGGTGGGTGCAGATGAAATAAAATTCATTCGTAAAAAATTAAGGGAAAATAAATATTCATATCTTGAATTAGAAACAGTTCATCCGCATCGTCACGAAATAAAAATTCCTGGAGTATAATAAAATGGAAGGAGAAGAAACCTATGAAAAGACGGAACAGGAAATTCTGGAAGAGACGCGAGCGGAACTGATCCGTCTATCGAACGCGGGTGAAATCAAGCAGTCTGAAAACTATTTGAAGAAAGCAACGCCGCGTATCATTCGGAAAATTAAACGGGAATACGATATTAGTCAACGTGAAAAAGTCAACGTCCTACTCACAGAAACTTTGATCGAGAAATTTTCGGGATTATTGGAAAGTATTCGTATGGTCGATAGCGGGAATGATTTGAAAGAAGAATTAAATCAGGATAAATTATTAAAAAGTGACGTGAAAAGTATCGTGGAAAGAGTATCCCCGTACATTCCGTATCTGGGAATTTTAAGTGGCGGCGTAACGACGGTGAAACATGTTTACGGAAGGAAAGGGAAGGAAGAAGAAAAGAGGATACAAAGACGGAATAGGTAAATGTCGTGAATCACGACATTATCGACCCATATTTTTTCATACTCGTCCGACTATGAAAAAAGTTTTCCTGTACGTCTCTAATACCTTACACCACCGAATTGTCCGTTGGCAATCTTAATGACACCGTCCGCAAGAACGAACGTATAACAGACGACGTTGGCCGTCGTTGCTTTTTTAGTAATTTCGACTAAGATTCCCGACTGAGTATTTTGAATTTTCACGCCGTTTCCATAAGTTTTCGTATCGTTCACGGTTCGTAAGTAGATGACCAAGGCAAATTTTTTATCCTTGTAAAATTTAATCAGGGATTGCTGACTGTTCACATCGGTACCAAAAAGCCGTTTGGCTTCTTCGTACATGCGTGTTTTAGTCATTCCTTGACTGTAAATAACGTTGGGAACACCTTCGATCGTCACTTTCACTTTTTCGATGTTCGGAAAGATATATTCTTCGCTATCGGTCGATGTTTTTTCGGTGAATAACATGACGACGGCTTTCATACTGCGTCGTGGCACGTTGATGGTTTCGTTGACGATCGTCGCATTTTTATCCCATTCGGTCTTTTTCATCAGCGTGACGTGTTCGTACGATAATTCTCGTTCGGATCCGTATAGGTTTTCGGATTTTCGGGCGAGATTATTATTTTCGATGGACTCGTATTCTAACTCGATGTTTTCCAACGTATAGCCCTCGACGGATTCACCACTTTGAGCATTCATGATTTCCGTGGCTTGTGGTAACGTGATGACGTACTGTAGATCGTTCGCAGAATGGTAAGGGGCGTACAATCCGTGATCGCCTAAAATTTTATTAATTTTTATCCTTTGTTTAGTTCCGAAGATACCGAACAATGCGGTGGCATTGGCATCGGCATTGGCTTCGTCATCCTTAGAGATTTTCTTTCGCACGGCTTCGGTGGCAATCCCATCTTCAACTTTATCCAAACGTTGTTTTTCATCCATCCACAAATCTTTGTACACTTCCATCAAACTTTCGCCGCCGTTATCGTAAACTTTTTCCCCGGCCAACCGGATCTCTAATCTTTTCTGCAATAATTTCCCCAGATTATTTCGGAACCAGGATTTTTCGTTGGCATTTTTAAAATCAAAGACCAACGCCATACTATCGGGAACTAATACGGAATCCGGTTTGAGTTTGGGAATATTTACATAGATTTCTTCGCCGGGTTTGGCCGTGTTTGGATTGAACGTAATTATTATTATTATTATTATTATTATTTAATCTTATTTACACACATATACAAGGGTAGCCCTTCAGCAAGTTTATCTACAGTTCCTTGTAGCTGATTTTCAAGGCGCCGTTGATTAATAATAAGGGAAGAAAATAATGAAATATACGAATATATATATATATATGTAAATAAATATAACACACGAATAATCCCCCCCCCCCTTCCTTCACTCAGTCCTCCCCCCCACCCTTATAATAAAACATTAAAAACTTTAACAATCTACGTTTGTCTGTCTCGGAGCAGCGCTTTAAATCTTGTTAATGTTATACCATTATCTTTAAGTTCTGTTGGCAGTTCATTCCAAATCTTTACTCCTGAGTAGCCGATACTTTTTTTAAGAAAATTAGTTTTAGGCTTTTTTATCGAAAAGTCACAATCGTTATTGCGTAAATTATAATTTTCATTATTTTTCACATTAAAGATATCAGTAATTGTTGTCAGGTATTTGCCATTTTTGGCTTTGTACATAAAAACTGCCTTATTCTCTCTCCAATTTTCTATCAGTGGCTGCCAGCCTAAGTCCTGTAAAATAGTCTCGGACCTAACTTCGTACGACCTACCAGTAATGACTCTTGCAGCCCTGTTTTGCATTTTCTGCAGCTTTTCAAGCGAGTAAACATTACCAATGTCCCAAACAAGGCTACAGTAGTCAAAGTGAGGTTGTACTATTGCATTATAAACTGAAATTAATGTTGACTGGGGTACAAAATTTTTCATTCGTCGAATCATGCCTATGGCCTTTGATACCTTGGTAACGACATTATCTATATGTGCATTCCATTTTAGCTGATCATCAATAATGACACCTAAAGTTTTTGTTTCTTTCACTCTTTTTATATTACAATTTCCTAATTTAACTTCTGGATCACCTTCAATTTTGCTAATCCGTTGCCTAGACCCGGCTATCATATATTCAGTTTTGTCCTTATTGAGAGTTAATTTATTGGCCAATAACCAGTGATGTATATTTTCCAAATCATTGTTTAATTTTGTTTGGATGTCTATAATCGAGCACCCGCTTGCTGTCAGATTAGTATCGTCTGCAAACAAACTGGCTGTAGTCGTTCTTAAACAATTAGGCAAGTCGTTTATATAAATAAGAAACAATATTGGGCCTAAATTTGAACCTTGTGGTACACCACAACGAATTATTCGAGGTTGGGATGTCACTTGATTTACTTTACACATTTGTTTTCTATTCGTTAAATATGATTTAAACCAATTTAAAGTGGTTCCTTTACAGCCAAAGTAAGACAATTTTTTTATCAAAATATCATGGTCGACACAGTCGAAAGCTTTTTTTAGATCGAGAAAAATAATTCCGTTTAAAAGACCATTATCCATATTGATGTACCATTTGTTCGTATTATTCAAAAGGGAAGTTGTAGTCGAACTCTTTTTCCTAAAGCCAGTTTGACTGTCCGACAGCAAGTGGTTAGACTCCAAATACCCATTGAGTTGCCTGGAGATAAGCTTTTCAAACACTTTAGCTACTACAGATATAATAGATATTGGTCTGTAGTTACAACAATCTAGTTTGCTATCCCCTTTATGTATAGGAGATATGCATGCAATTTTAAGGTCATCAGGAAATACGCCTTTTTCAATGGATTTATTGAAAATATTTGTGAGGGATTCGGCAACTACTTCCACACTATCTTTCAAAAGTTTTGGTGATATACGATCATGTCCAGTAGCTTTGGAAGTTTTGATTCTTGAAATTTCACTTTTTACCTCCACTACAGAAATGTTTTGAATTTCAAATGTAGTTTCAGTAGGGTTGACATACGCCTCAAAACTATTATGCCCATTTGAGAGATTATCAGCCAAAACGGTTCCAATATCATTGAAATATTTATTCATACCTTCTGCTATTTCATCTGGATTTGTTGTAACTTTCTGATCAATTATCAGTTCATTAATTTTAGTTGTTTTCGATTTCTTGTTTGTTAATTGATTGATAGTTTTCCACATAGATTTTGGATCCTTATTGCATTGATTTATCGCATTATTGTAATAATTCGCTTTTGTATCTTTTACTAACTTGCTCAAATTATTTCTAGCCTTTTTGTATGTATTATGAAAGTGGGTTGAACCTGTTTTGATTGCTTTTTCTTAAGAAAATCCCTATGATACATTTTTGTTTTGATTTCCGAAGTTAACCATGCACATGTTCGCTTCGAACTCTCCTGATGACCGGTGGTGCATGCATATCCGCTACTAACAAAAATTTTTCCTTCCAGTCATCCCAAAGGATATTCGGATCGGATTCATGCGGCTGTGAATGAAGGATATTATACAAATCTAGATTGAAAGCTTCTATGTTATAACGCTTAAACTGTCGCGTATTGATAATCTTTGGTTGCTTACGTGGTATAGATATTTTCCTGTGTATATAGATTAAGCTATGATCGCTGATACCGATGTGATGTACACCGGACTTAATTATTATCTCTGGACGATTACTAAAAACCAAATCGATTTGTGTTCGAGATCTTTCGGTGACTCGAGTCGGTTCATCAATCATTTGGTCAAGTTGATACATTCTAGCCAAATGTGATAACCTTCGAGTCTCGATTTTATCAGGTTGGAGCCAATCACAATTGAAATCGCCGATGCATATAATTTCCTTATTTTCACTATCCATTTTTTGTATACATTGTTCGTATTCATTAAATGCTTCTATAGGCATATCTGGAGGCTTGTACCACGTGTTAAGAAAAAAAGGTTTAGCTCTAGGTTTTTTTATTTCCACCGTGATTGTTTCCAATCCTTCTGGCATTATGTCTTCTCTAATTTTATAGCTTATTGAATTTCTAATATACATAGCTACTCCACCTCCTGTACGTTTCCTATCTTTACGCACTAGGTCATATCCATTTAAACTAACTTCATAAGTATTAATTTTGTCATCTAACCAGGTTTCATTAATGCATATAATGTCGTATTGGTGATTGGAAAGGTAGATTTTCAATTGATCTATATTTTTTATTAAGCTTCTGATATTAAGATGACCTATTTTGAAACCTTTATCCCCGTTTTTCGATTTTTTATCAACTTTACTAGTAATATTGCCTTCCTCCCGAGGCAACTCATTTGTTTGGTCGTTTATGACATCACCGGTTTTACCATACGAGTATGAGGTGTGCTCCGAGACAGATTCGTAGCATCAATTGTACTTAGAATTAAAGTAGGTAAGAAAGTTTTTTGCCATTATGCCTGTGCCAAATTTGTTTAAGTGCAGGCCGTAAGCGTTTAAGTGTTTGTCCTGAATGTTTTTATGTTTAATATAAGTTAAATTACGTCGTTGGCATGCTTTAACTAGCATTTCGTTTACCTTATCGACTTTCTGTGAGAATTCAGCTTTGTCGGTTCGGTGTATCAGCTCAGATATAACTACATTCGTTGTTGGACTTTCTTTCTTTATAATCTCCTCAATTTCTAGGATACCATTCACAATCTCATTAGTCTGTTTATCTCTTATATCATTTGTACCGACATGTAGTATGATTTGATCTGGCTTTCTCGCTACGCATGGTCTTATGTGATGGCTCATCGCTTCCGTGTTCGAACCTCTGTACGTTTCCACATATATGTTGTGATTGCTTGCAGCTATCGATCGCTTTAGTCGTTTGGAATCAAGGTGTTTTACCATGGAGTCGCCAACTATAACGGTAGTTATTTTTTCGTTGGTATCACCTTTCTTTACGTTTTGCTTTCTCTGGTTTGGGGTTTTATCTTGCCTGTTTCTGGTGGCATAAATGTCTCGTCCTGTTTCCCACCAATTCCGTCCTGGACTGACGGTGGAAATCGGGCATTAGTTCTTGTGTACGACTTTCCATCTTTTATTTCATGGGAATGAAATAAAAAAAATTTTATTTCTTCTTTTTAAAATATTCGTAGATGATCGTGGCAACGATAATAGCGACGATCCATAAATTTTTCGCGAGCAATTCTAATCCTTTGGCTCCCCAACTTAATATTGTCGCCAACATATTCAGGATCGGAATGAAGACGGGTAAAGCGGCTTTCGCGACTTTCGCCAACCCTTTTCCCACTTCTCCCAATCCCTTCGCGGTACCGACCAACGTCTTTTTTCCGGCGACGACGACGGTCGTAATGATACCCGCGATGGAAATGGCGATGGCCGATAAAACTCCTAGATTTTCTTTAGCCCACACTTTAAATTTTTCAAATTTTGTACGCGTATCGTCGCGTACTTTTTCGCGGACGCGGTGCACGCCCTCTTCGGATTCGGATTTTTGACGCATCTGTAATTTCGCATCGTCGATATTTTGTTCGATGATTTCTATGGCTTCCTTAAAAGTTTCTTTTAGGTCGGGATCGGATTCTGCCTGTAAATCCTGCCGAAGTCTTTTGCGTTCTATTTTCAAATATTTCATTTTTTCTTCGGGTTCTCCTTTGGGTCTTGTAATTCCTACTAATTCTCTTGCTTCATGTTCGGTAAGTTTTCCGTCACGATGTAATTGTAAAACTCGGTTGCCGAATTCAATAATAATAATAATAATGGTTTATTACATTCACTAAATAGCTTGATGAGCTAAAATACAGTGATGTTTACAGTGATAGAACTTTTACAATGATAAAATGTAATGTAAAAAGTATTAATACTATGGTCTCTACTTCACTAAAGCTAGTTCAATGTAAAAAGTCTTAAAACTATTGTCATATTTACAGATAGAATTATATTATGTTAGTTATTACTCACTATAATATATAAACCCTCATGCTTACTTAGCAATATAAAGATTATATTTGCCAATTGCATATACAATTGGACTATGTTTAAAACGTTCTGTTTTACATGCAAAGTTGTAGTACGTTGCCTCATTCATTCTCGTTTCTCGTTGCTTTATTTGGGAAGTTTTCTTTGGTAAGAGGTGGTTAAGTTTATGATTCGGGTTTGACATATCCTTAATAAGTTGGACACACATGTCATCGCGTCGGTCGGTTAGCGTTTTGAGGTTCAATTCCATTAGTGCTTCATGGTATTTTAGTTCCGGATAAATTATCCTTCACGCTCTTTTCTGGATTCGCTCGATATCTTCGCTTTGCTCCATTGTCAACCCGCCGTTCCAAACTTGGGCGCCATATTCCAAAACTGATCTCACTACTGCTACGTAGAAAGTCTTCAGAGCTTCTTTTGGCGCATTATAACTCTTTAGAATCTTCATAAAGTATAGTCTCTTAGCTGCCTTTTTTGTGATGTACTCAGTGTTCGTTTTCCATTTAAGGTCATCGTCGAACCAGATACCCAGTAGCTTGTACGATCTTACTTTAGTGAGGGACTGCTCCCCTAATGTAGTTGGGGGTATAACCGTTTTATTCTTACGAAAGTCGATGTGCATTTCCTTGCATTTTTTAAAATTCAGTTGCATATTTTCGTCGTTCGTAAATTGTAATACACTCTCCAAATTACGTTGGGAGTTGCCGATCGATTCTCCAGAGATATGATCGGAAACGTTTAAAACTTCAGACATGGTAGTGTCATCCATAAACATTGAAACAGTATCACTGTTCTCATCATCAGATGACTGAACCACTGATGGGAAATCGTTTATATGAACTATGAAGGCTAAGGGACCGATTTTACTACCTTGTGGCACCCCACCTTTAATATATGCAGGGTCGGAGAAAGTGTTTCCGACTTTTGTAACTTGCGATCTGCCTTGGAGATATGACCCGAGCCAAGCTAGCAATGCTGGTCTAACACCTATTTTCTCGAAGTTCTGGAGTAACTTATTGTGGTCAATTAGGTCGAACGCTTTTCGAAAATCCAGGAAAATTATTCTCACCACATTCCCATGGTTCTCCATAGCCGAATACCAGTTGTGTGCAAGACAGACAAGTGCTAAGACTGCCGAAGAACCTGGAAGTCCTCCAAATTGAGCTTCGCTCACTTTTCCTTTTATATCTTCACGTACCCACTCAACCACATACGACTCTTGAACCTTGGATAGGACACTAGTGAGGGAGATTGGACGCAGGTCTTCAACATTCGAACAAGGCGTAATCTTCGGAATCGCGCAGACTGTGTAAAATTTCCAAATTTGGGGAAATATTCTTGACATGAATGATTCGTTGTATATATCGGCCAAAGGGATAGCAAAATATTTCGCGAACATCTTGATCAATTTCATGTATGGGTCGTATGGACCGGCTGCCTTCCCGACGGTAAGATCACTTAGTCTTTTGGCAACATTTTCATCAGTAATTGTTGGGAGGGGATCTAGTTCACCCCGTGATAGCCAATCTCCCCGTACTTCCGAGAAGTCGTTTGTAAGAGTTGAGAAGAATGAATTTATGTGATCAGCCGTTTGCTTAT